ATAATACTCCTGAAACAATTCAAAAAAGGAAAGAATATGTACAAAAGATCTATAATGAAAATATTAACATTTATAGAAATATGGTCTATATTGATGAAACTGGCTTTAATTTACATTTTTCAAAATCAAGGGGTCATGCATGCTGTGGTCGGCCTGCTATTCGTAAAGTCATAAGTAACAGAGGGAAAAATATCTCTGTTATTGCTGCAATTAATGATAATGAGGTTTTGCATTATAAGTCTATTTTAGGTTCTGTAAATTCAGAAATTTTTGCCACCTTTATTGATGAACTTCTTAGAATTATTCCAAATAGGAAATTTTTAGTAATGAATAATATTTGTTTTCATAAATCAGATATAGTTAAAGAAATTGTCGAAGATACTACACACCAAATTTTATATCTACTATCTTATTCCTCTTTTTTAAATCCGATTGAAAATTGTTTTTCAAAAATTAAAGATTCTGTTGCTAAAAATCGTTTAAGAGATCGAGAAACAATTTTAAGTAGAATGAATGATGCATTTAATATTGTTATAAACGAAGATTGTGAAAGATAGATATGGTATACTTCTTTATACTTTCAATGTTGTTTAAATAGTGAAATTATCAATATCTAATTAAATGCAATATAATGAATTTTTTTAAAATAAAATTATTCAACATTAGTAAAATGCTAAACTATAAATGTTATATATATAATATAAATAATATTGTAATATTTATCATAACAATTACGTAATATTATTTATTTATATGTATATCGATATGCTTATACGTAACTATATACTGGTATTAACAATCTAATTGCTAAAAAAATAATTCACAACATTGTATTATTTAAATCAATAAATCTAAGACTAATAAAGAATTGGTACTGAAAAAAATATAATGCCAGATATTTTTATTAAGGCATTCATTTATTGTCGAAAATCTGAAGATAGGTGCCACTGATGGAACATATAATGCGAAATATTGTTATTATCATGGAACTTGAGTTGAAAAAGACAAATATAGGGCATTTATTTATTATCAAATCTGAAGATAGGTGCCACTAATGGAACATATAATACCAGATATTGGAAAA